ATGTGTCCTTGTCGGCCACATCTGAAACAAAGTCCTCTTTGGAAATATTCTTGTGTTTGAGCCGGACTAAGCCAATCAATGTGAATTTGATCAACATCCATAGCATTCGGATCTCGTTGGGTTTGATAGTTCGGGACGAACTGAGGTTTCGGTTTGGATACTGTGCTGCTGAGATAGCTGGCTATTCCTTTCCCTCTCCTCTTATTGTTGTCCATCCTTTTGACGATTGTCTTCCAGGATGCAAGAGTAGTTGGCATTTCTTCTCTTTCATACATCCTATCTCTGATCCACTTGTTGAGTCCTCATATGAAATAGTCAATTAAAGCTGTGTCATTGCTGACTTCAGATTTAGCTGCTAGTGTTTCGAACTTGGAGACGTAATCGTCAGCTGTATCTTTGTTCTGTTGAAGTTGTCAAAGTTTGTTTAGGGCGTTCCCTGCTTCATCTGATTCTCCAAATATATTCTTGGATTCGTACTGTCTTCCATCTTCCAGCTGGTCCTCCTTTCATGTAGGATAGCATGAAAGTTACTTTCTTCTTATCATCTGAATAGATTTCTTTGTTTGCCATAAGGTATAAGTCGACGTCAGTTTGGAATTCTTCGGTTTTGGTGCAATCACCATCGAAATCCTTAGGGGTGCCGATCTTTATCTCCTTGGCATGAGTGTTTACGGTTACTGCTTGTCCTGTCTGTCCTGACATTTCTGATTCTGTTGACACTGTTTCCCAATTTGTATCTGAATCGTTTCCTAAATTGAGGTTCTGAAATAAATCTGCTGGTGGGGATTCCAAAGTGTCTCTATATTCTGGATATGGAAGGAAAGGCCAGTTATTGCTTTCGGGATTACTGATCTGTCCAGGGGATTCGGGTTCTGTATCTGGTGATGGGGTTCTGGTTCGAAAAGAAATCTTGTCGTTCGGTTCTGGGTTTCTGGTTTCTGGATTGTTGGGATAGCCTAAACTTGGATAAGTCGGCTGTTCTGGTATTCAGCCTGACCTTATGTTATGACTGGTGTCCACAACGTAAGCTCAATACTGAGTTATCGACCTGTCTTGGTTCTGGTGTCGTGAATGTGAGATTGAGTTGTAAGGTCAAGCTGAAGAGCAAGACCTGTTACTGTACAAGTATAAATACTAAAACTAGAACTGCATACATACTGCAAACTGTTGTAAATACTGCAATCTGGACTGCGTACATACTGTGAACTACTGCGAATACTGTGGTCAGATAAATAACACTGCGATCAGATAATAAACATATCAGAGTCATAGATAAGATATCTTAGATGAAGAAAATGATATACCCCCTTCGTAACTGTAACATTACCCCGTCGTTATGTTGAATGTCCACATTCAATTTCGCATAACCATCCTATGTCCCAATCAGTAACACGGCGGGATTTTCGATGTCAACTCGTGCTTTGTACTGTGATGTCAACATGGTTGTCAACTCGTTCTCCACTCGGAAATTGAATGGGACCAGGGTAAACCTCACCAAAAATCAAGTGGGCAATGAGTTGACAACCGTGTTGACATCACACTACAAAGCGCGAGTTGACATCAAAAATCCCGCCGTGTAATGAACTGGTTCATCACAAATGTTGGACGCCACGATATCGTTGTAGTCGTTGTCATAGTCGGAGTCAGGAGCGTTAGGTTGGCGAGACGTATCAGAGTCATAGATAAGATATCATAGGTGAAGGAAATGATATACCCCTTTCGTAACTGTAACACTCTATGTATTCTCAGCTCAATGATTCTCGTTCCCACGTTGTTTTTTTCTTTTTTCCCCTCCATGACAACGGCCGATCCTTGACCTTCCCGGCGACCCTTTGACCTCTGCTTCATGATTAACGGAAGGATCCGTGGTTGGATGTCGAATATAAGGAGTTTGATTGTATGATACAAAAGAAACCAACTGAGGACTACAGATGATGGAGCTCTTTTTCTGCAAGTCTTCCCTCACGGGATGAGTAGTTTTGTTTATGGTTATACTAGGTACAAGTCTCATCTGTGGTTGTCGAAGAACTGCACATTAGCTTCCAGGAACAAGGCCAACTAATACCCATCTATAGACAAATACACTGACCAACCAGTCAAAACTCAGAATAGTGGAACTCATTCTGCATTTTAATTGATGTTTGTAGTGACTGTCGAGTTGACATAGGGACTCCTCAGCTGGAACTGCTCCAGATGTCCTACATATACTTCTCGTGTGTCGGACTGCTGCCGGATGTGAAGAATCGCCCGACTAGTGACGACTGAACGAAAGACCCGATCGACACTGAGTCACGATTAATCAGTAGAGAAGCCACGGAGGAGGGATGTCTTGTGCGTACGAAGAGAGGAGGAAAACAAGGCTCTATGACATTCATAATTCAGATGTCAGTCTGAGCTGGCCCAGTCGAGTTTGAGCTTCATAAAACTCACTGGCTGTGTGATCATCACGATAATATTCACCAGGGAAAACGCTGGAGATACTCATTTGTGAGGTTGCTAAGGGTAGCCACTGGACAGGGTGTTTATCGCGTACCGGATAAAAATGCGTAGTACTTGATTCCTGTACGTATGAAAGTGCTGTGAGTTTATTTTGACAACTGAGCCATTGATTACTTCGAGAACTAACCATCTTGATAGATAGTCCTTGTGACGCTGCTCCGTCCACCACTGTGATCTGACGAATAAGTGAGCGCGCAGGGAGATTGATTCGAGGCTTGCAACTCACAAACCCTCGCAACCGGGATCATCATTAAGACAAACGCGGCTGTTCCCCGTCAGTTCGGAGCTGATCAATGAGGAGATAACAATCTCTACCAACCTGTATCATACACCGTAAACATGATCCACGTGATGTAGAGGAGATTGTTCCCTCCGAATATGAGACATCCCTCACGATTTGGAATGGGGAAGGGTGGGTTCCCGTCTACAACAGATCGGAGTTCACACTGAAGAACAGGGTACTGTGAAAGAATCAACTCACAGGCAACTCCTTGAAGGAACTTGCCGAGATAGATAGCACCGGGGGTGAAACATCCGACATAAAGGAGTCCCATACCAGCTATGATATATCTGCTCCGTCTCCAGACCGCCCAGACGCGGATGCTCATCAGAGCTTATAGAAAGTCAAGTTGTACTGGCTGGTAATTGTTACTGACCCTCTGCGAGTAAACCACCCATGAAGCTCAGCCCTTGAGATGAAGGGGTACAATTAGATGATGGAAGACACGAGGATAGATGCAGGTCCTACACCCAATGGTCCTCACGGTGATTAAGCATTGGCCGGGATTTAATAAAGATTGGTCTGACGAAATAGGTCAGCTTGAAGGGTACAAACTCGAGACGTAGGAACAGCTCTTACAATACATTAATAATATAACAATATCCATAAAGGGAAGATATCTCTGAACAAGATAAAGTACCTTAACACTTGTCCAAGGAGAAGCCCATACAAAGCGCAACTCGCTATCCAGGTTGAGAAGTGTGTCGTAGACTACTAGCGTTGCAGCGAGAACTTCAATGTGCGGAGATTAGATTGAGGAAAACCATGGAGATCATGACATGAGTACCATCAAAAGACTAGGACGAATTATCAGGGACGTGAGACTTTATACATCATCTAGAGTCTAGACATACCGTGAGCCATCGATGGAGAGTGAGAGTCTTTAGAAGTAGTTGTGATAGCGATTGTAGACCTTCTGGCGACATGATACGTGGGGATCAAACGTGTGAGATGAGGGTGGGCTTAGGAGGTCATACCTAGTTCTCTTTTATCCAATTTCTTGGCGTACTAGGGCTTACAGCATACCGCTTTGAGTCAGGTACAGTCCTCGGCGTGTCGGTATGCCCGTGTTCCCGGCCTTATATGTGTTCATCAATCAATACTGATCTTGTAGTAGTACCACCCGCGGCCCGCCAACTGAGCCTATCCCACAACGAGCATGCAAAGCTAAAAGGGCTTCATAGAGTTTGGAACCGAACAAAGGTGCTGGCAAGTAATGGATCATCAGAGCGCTCTTACGGCTTTCTCATCCAAACATGGTGGCGCCCGACACCTTTCGTCCTCTACAGCATGCGTCACAGAAGTATTGAGTTATGTATGCATCATCATCATGGTTGAGGTGTTGATGATTAGTGATCGAAATTCCCAGCAGTTAGTCGAGGAGGACACGGGACGACAACTTGGTTGCCTCGACCAAAGGATTTTTGCAATCCGAAAACCTCGGACCTTGTTTGTACTGGAAGAATGTAGCGTATGTATGGCCTAACGGTCGCGATCAATCTAGTGGTGGTTCATGCGCCCATGAGTTCGTTTTTTCGGACCATCGTGGTCTCTCAACGTTGCCCTCCCTGGTTCCCACAATCCTTGAATCAGGTTGGGCTATGGCTTGATGTACCGAGTGACTCGTGGGGCCGTGATACGTTGAGAAATGGGCGGTAAATCGAGACGTTCCGAGAACACCAATTCGAATTGAAGATGACAGACTTCAAAAGGGGTTACCCCCGACCCTGCTCTGACACTATAAGTCTCTCCTCCGTCGTATACGCTCTGATGATTGCTGAACTCTGTTTTATCCCCCTAGCGGAGCCCGAAATCTTCAGCATAGACGAGATTCAACTATACGATTTCAAATTCATCCGAATTAGATCTTGCTCCAGAGGTCATTGTTTCCTTGCTCTGATTCATGCACTTCTGTTGGGCCCCTACTCACCGCGTTACTCGTCTCTGAGCCTTTCGTCCTTCCGCTGGTCTCCCAACCTAATTTCAAGGCCTTTATACGCATTCCGTTCTCGGTCTTCTTTCGCTGTCTCGCCCTACTGCATGCTTATATCATTGGCTAATATCTCACAACTGAGCACCCACTGCCTGGTAGTATGGTACGCTTCCGCTGCAACTCTGAGTATCATATTGGGCTCATCGCCTCAACCAAGAACAATTCTTTGCTCGTGCGAGTAATTCCCAACAGCAAAGAAAGACACAAAAAGTATTCACATCTGGGTAATGATTCGACCCAGGCTCGAACTGGGGACCTTCTGTGTAACAAGTGAAATCTTCCGGATGTTAGACAGATGCGATAACCAACTACGCCATCGAACCACTTATCTTGGGAGGTACGATGACAACCATAGCCGAGATTGATATAGCGTGGGAGCTCACTGGATCTCTGGGTAAAGCCTGTTGGGAAGGTTCTCGCGCTTTCTTACTCCTCGAACAGCACCCAGTTTCAGAATCAGAAGGTTTTGTGCCTTGGAAGGATGGAGGCAATTCTGTTGGACATTGGAGAGCGTCACTCCGTGACTACAATGGCGTTCGGGTTTTCCTTTTTTTTTTTCCCGATCAGGGCTTCCCGAACCTTCGATATCCTCAAACTTCGTGAAAACGTTCGGAAGCTTCCCAAATTTCATGCGGCTCAAAGGTCTGAGATTAAAATGATGGGGCCAAGAGCTGACTGACCGCCCCTCAAGATGGTCTGTGCGCGAAGCTTCTTTGTGGGGTTGGCATCGGCGATATGGAGAATCTTTCCCGCCCTCCTTCTCTTCCCAAACTGCCGTGAACACACACAAACCGATGGTTTCTCGTATCTCAACAACGTAAAATTGCCGGCTGTCTCGAGGTCTTTTGGGTGGAAGTTGGGCCTCAGTACGTCTCTCTTGCTTTGTCTTTATCCTGGTTGTCATGAATTCTGACCGTGATATGTTCTCGATGCATAACTTCAAGGGAAACGACGGCGGAGGTTTGGGCAACAGCAAAAAGAAGACTCGTACACTCACGGACATCCCTTTGCGTCTCTATCTTGGCCTCGAGATTGGTTTTCTCTCCATCACACCTCTAGGTCCCCACGGCTTCAACAGCAAACGTCTCACGGAGAAGCAAGAACCATGACTGTGAACGCCTGCTAAAATAGGCTGATCTCTTCTCTCGCGTCAGTGCGTCGTGTTCTCGGTGCCTCCGTCATGGCCGTGCCGTTCTTTCTCGCAAACTCTAATCTATTGATCTACCGTGCCAATATTTCCCATCCTTTACCTTTATCATACTGGCTGTGTTATCACATCGTGCTAGACGTTCCGTTTCACCGTTCCACGTCCCTATAACACGCTCGTCATCATACCTCCTGGTTCCGCGCCTCCTCAATGACGATTCGATTTTTTGCCTCTCCATTCACACATACCTACATCCTATTGTTATGTATATGTAGTCCTCTTCATTATCTGCTCGTTTGACTATGACTAGTCAAGATACTGGTACAGGCATTGTGACTCAATTCCGATCATCGTCTCCGTACATCTTTCCTGCACTGGGCGAATATACTTATAAGCTATGGTACGTATAAGCATTAGCCCTCGTACGTGAGTTTGCTCCATGTGTACCAAAATGAAAATTAAGAACTTTCCGATATATTAGACAACTGCATCAAAAGGGAATCGAACCCCCGGCGGGTCGAAAAGCCAGAATTACAATGTTTGTGGCAACGACCCAAGTTACCACTACCCATTAATGCGCTCCAATGTATTGGGGTATCATTAATTATGTCTTGAAGTTCGTAGAAAGAACCGAAATTCCGCAGACATAGACTGTTCTTTGCACGCCATCCGGGGTTACTTTGAAATACATCAGCTCAACTCAATGAATATTAGTGCAACGTATTCCGAATATTAATGGCCGCTCGCGAAATGGCATCGCGTCTGAGTACAATGAGTATCTTTCCAAGTGCAACGTATCAGGAGATTGCGGGTTCAACCCCTGCGGTGGTCAGTGGAGAGGAGTTATTGATGTTTTTGCCCTGAGAGGTCTCCATAGATTTCTGCCCAGATCCTTCAACTCTTAAAACCAAAAACATCTTCCATTGATGGCGCAGTTATTGTGTCTGTCTCACAAGTTAGTTCAATTACATTTCCAGGACTCTGGGTCTGGGCAGCAGAGAGAAAGATATCAAAACGGTTGGCAGGTTCCCAATTTCACCTCGCACCATTATATCCTCGGGTACTCGGGAGTCAAGATTGCTCCCTCACCGGTGTTGAATCCGTGGACTATAATTAGATCCCGGTATATCCGAAGTCCCGGTTCATACTTCCCGCCATCATATTATGCGGGACTATTGTTCCATTTATCATTTCTACTTATGATCATATGTACAATTTCATTATCGTCCTTATATGGTATTCACTATAGTCTCTACATGTATATAAGCTCGTAGTTCTCTACTTGAATCTACAGTGTGCTTGAGCTTCTACGTCTCGCCTCTATCTCTCTAAACTCCTCTCTGGTAAGTAGTAGTATAGCTATGTTGTAGTCCTCTGCGCTAGGCGTCATGCCGGCTCATCAGGTTATGGGCCCCGGTTAGCCCGACTACAATGACGAGCGCCTTAATGGCTGCTGTCAGCGACGAGCGCCCCTAGGCTGCTGTCATCGGCTAGCTAGGCTAGACCTGCATGTTGCCATCGACCTCTTAATTGAGTGTTCGATCTATGGCATTGATGTACGTCCTTCGACGACATCGGATCTCAAGGATCCAATGCTCCTCGTTGAGCATAGCGCCTTGATGGCTGCTCCCTGTGTTGATTAGACGCATGCTGATGCTGTCTTTTCTAGATCCAACACCAAACAACCTAACCTCTTACTACCATGTTCGACGTTAAGAAATTCTTCTCCGGTCGCTTCGACGGCACTGGATTTCGCCAGACCTATAACGGCGAAATGGAAGCTGTAACCAAGGCTCAAGGCCTTTATCGTCACCTCACTGGTGCGGCTAAGAAGCCTACTTACCCTCTGGGGGAACCCATTGTTCCGACCATTACGGTCACTACTCCCCCTGGTGGAACTGCTCAGCCTGCAGCTGGAACTGACAGTGACGACGAACCTGATCGTCACCCTCCCACCGATGCTCAGATCACGGCGTACAATACTGCGCTGGAAGCATGGGAGGAGAAAGATCTCCAGCTGATGGGTATCATTCAGTTGACCTCTACGAAGGAAGTCTTTGAACCTCTCAAGGACATGGACGGTGCCAAAGCTTGGTCCACTATCGTCACCACCTACGGCGAACCAACTTTGTCTGCCATTTATGGCGACTTCGTCAAGCTGGTGTCTTTCCGGCTTACCACTAGCCATCCCCAGGCTGGCATCGCCAAGTTCAAACACTACATTGAACGTCTTGCCGAGGTCGGGGTTGAACTCCCCGAGTTGATCAAAGCCCTCCTTCTCATCGCAGCTATTCCTCCCGAATGGGACGCCGCTTCCTCTAAATCTCTTCATGATTTCTCAAGAGATCCTGATAGTGACACTGCCCTCACCGTTGGTGACGTTCATGAAGCCATCATGGTTGAATATGAACGTCAGAACCCTCAGCTTGCTAACCGCCTCTCTGCGGTCAAGCGTGCTGGTAACCGCGAACCATCCTTTGGTCAGCAGCAGCGTCCACCGCAGCAACGACAGCAGCGCGGACAGCAGCAGCGCGGCCAACAGCGTCAACCACAGCAGCAGCAGCAACGCCCTTCTTCGAACCAGAACAACGGTAAGAAGAAGAAGCAGCAGCAGCGTGGTACCCGCGGTGGTATCAACCAGCATCAGGGTCCCGGTAACAACGGTGGTAACAATCGGTCGCATGGTCACTCCCATCTGGCATCCTATGCATCTGTCGTAGCTTCCCCCGCTCCTATCCGTCCTTATTCCTCGATCACCGACCGCAGGGAACGTATTGCGTTGAACGCGGTAAATAACTCCCTGCGTGCCGAGATTGCTGATGAGCCAGCATAGTTAAAGTGCACAGTGGGTATAACGAAGTAAACCTCACATGGGTAATACACAGAGTGTTCTTGTAGTCTTGAGATGCTTGAGAAGAGGTGATAATCGAGTAGATTGTCCTAAGGCTTAAGGCCTTTCGTCCAGTCTTTTATACATAAGTTTCTGGTACATATAATGAGTATTACACTAACTGAAACTACTACTAGAAGTAGGTATTCGGCCCTAAAGGCGTAAAAGACATTAGTACTGTGTAAGTACTTCTACCATGAATGGTAGTATGCTTGGTGAGCATAGTCGTGTTTGCCTCATGTATTGGAGGCTCTACTTATGCTATTAGATAGCGACTGTCTATAGTGTCATTTATGATGAAACTACTAGGTACGTAGTGAGATACGTAGACAGAGACGTAGTGCTTGCATGAGGACGCAAGTGTTCTAGAGGCGTGGCTCTATAAATAGTGTGACGCGTAAACAACACGTCAACAGTGTATCACATGATATCCATCATGTTCAACACTCCCCCTCACTAAGTTCATCATGCGATCATGGAACTAGTGAAATGTTAATCCTAAAGATTGCCTGAACAATTCGAACTTTGTTCTGCCAAGATTCTTCGTAAGAAGATCAGCAGGTTGTTTAGCAGTTTCAACGAAATAGATTCGAGTCTTTCCGTGTTCCACTGCTTCCCTGATGAAGTGGTATCGATTGTCAATGTGTTTTGTTCTTTTATCAGTAGCTTCATTGCTGCTGAGAAAGATAGCGCCTTGGTTGTCGCTAACACATGGAACTGATCGGATAGGGAAGTTCAATTCGTTCAATAACGACTTCATCCAGCAAGCCTGACGTGTACAGTCAGATAGGGCCATATACTCTGCTTCTGTAGATGATAATGCAACCGTTTTCTGTTTCTGAGAGACCCAGCAAACTGGTGCATTGGCAAGCTTTACGATATATCCAGTCTGTGATCGACGATCATCTTTATCAGTTGCCCAATCAGAGTCAGCAAAGGCAAGTAGTCCTTGGTTGGATCTACCATCGTAAATGAGTTCATACTTTGCAGTGTGAACAAGGTATTTCACGATGTAAAGTGCCTTCTGGAGGTGTTCCTGATTAGGATTAGCTCCATACTGTGACATCTTGATTACAGCAAAGGATATGTCTGGTCTTGTTCCGAGAGCCAAGTAAAGTAATGATCCGATAACCGATTGGAATCTATGCCTGATCTCGGGATTAACCTCCCCCTGGTTTTGGGTTGGGTTATAGCCTTCTGGCAAAGGCGTATATGCCGTCTTGGCGTTCAGAACTCCGAATTTACGAATTATCTTTTCAAGATAGTCTCGCTGATCAAGGATCAGTCTGCGATTCTTCCGATCTCGAGTAATTCGCATTCGCAGAAATTCTGTTGGCTCGCCTAGATCTCGGCATTCCCAGATTTTCATGAATTCGCTCTTTAGTCTGTTGACAAGGTTGCGATCAGGACCCATAAATAAAGCATCGTCGACATAGACGACGGCAATGACCATATTGCCATTCTTGTTGAAGACATATACGCCAGCATCGGATAAGCATCGTTTGAATCCCAGACGTTTCATGGATTCAGTACATTGACGCCACCAGGCACGAGAAGCCTGTTTTAATCCATACAATGCTTTGCGTAACCTCCAAACCTTGCTGGAGTCCGTAACGAAGCCTTCAGGTTGTTCCATGTAGATCTCCTCATCTAAGGCACCATACAGAAATGCTGTTTTAACGTCTAGCGCAGAGATCTCCCAATCTTCAAGCGCTGCTAGTGCCAATAGAAGTCGTACGGTTTCGAATCGTACTACAGGAGAGAACAACTCGTTATAGTCTATCCCTTGTTTCTGCGAAAATCCTTTCGCAACAAGTCTTGCCTTTTTGCGGCCATCAGACTTGATGTCAAATACCCAGCGGGATTTCACCACTTTTCGGCCTTTGGGTAGTGTGACCACATCAAAGACGTTTCTATCTTTGAGTGATTGTAATTCCAGTCTGCATGCTGCTTCCCAAGATGGTCGTTCATCTTTAGGACGCTTCTGGACTTGTTTGTATGTCCATTCACGAACGTTATCATAACTACTGGCTTGAAGACCATATAGTTGATGACCGTTATTCAGCAAGTAAACCAAGTAATTTTCTCCCCCTTGCTGAGCAAGATCGCTCATATCGTCATCTGTGTCCATAGGAGCGGCTGGATCAGGAACCCTATTTGGTATTGTTTCAGGTTCATTTGTCGGATTAATCTGACTTTGCCAGCGTGCTTGAGAATCGATATCGCGTTCGATCTCAACAGGATGTTGATTTCCGTAAACATTAAACGGACGGTTGGGAGTTACTCTATTTCTTGGAGGGTTTCTTCTGACAGCTGCTGGTGGAGGAGCTCGTAAGTTCTCCCACTCATCATAGTCAGCTTGTCGAAAATCAAATGGATTTGTCGATCTAGAAGAACCAGCAGACCGTGGATCCGGACCATACTGATTAGGATTGTGATCAGAGCCTTTCGGTGATCCGAATCCATCAGTATTTGGATGATTGCCGTTGTGCACATCATCGCTTTTATCATCCGGGATAGGATCCAAGGGAGGATCTCCTCCAGGCTGATGATCGTCATCATCTGACCCTGGTGGAGGTGGAGGATTGAAGAAATCATCATCATTGTGATGATCTTCATGGCCATCATATGGGTACGTTGGAAAGGGTATAGACCGGACAGGTTTGTCGGTTTTATCAAACTCTATGGATCCGGGCACTTCTTTCTGACATTTAGGAAACCAGTTTTCATCAAAAACTGCTTGTGGAGTAATGTATACAGAATTGTTGGTTGTTCGAAAGAATCGATAAGCTTTTGATCCACTCTCGTAACCAATGAAGATCATTGCTTCGGAGTGTGGAGCAAGCTTATTTTTACGTTTCGGTATGTATGCATATGCGCCACAACCGAACGTCCTGAAGTATGATACATCAGGCTTCTTATTTTCAAACAATTCAACTGGAG